TCCTCGAATGTTTCACAAGTCACTTCTAAGAATAGAGTTATCCTTATACCTCCAACCATTATACATAGGAACTCATGACTACATCAATCTCATACTTCCTTTCAAAAATTTCAACTTACTTATGGCCCTTAAAATTTGGCTTTCTTTACAAATTCGTAAAAATTTTGGCAGAGTTTCCCCTGTAACTAGGTCGTCCACCTGCCAGAGAACCCCAATGGCTCAAAACAAATCCGTCAGGACTGAATCCTTCTAACTCAACCAAGCTACAAAGGCCACCAAAAACCCAAGGACATTGCCACAAAACACCTATAGAACTCATTACCTCATACACACCCAAAGAACTAATCATACACATTACCATGCCGATCCAACCTACTACCAAGATGTCCTATCTACCCGAGTCCCTTCTGAATTACCTTCAAATTGATACTTTGCCCCGCCATAACGCCATAATCCTCAACCCAGACTCACCACACGAGACCCAAGCATAAAACCACACCGCCCTAAGGCTCATAAGCTGCTAAATACTCTCTTAAATATCCCCCAAAGTACCACAAGCACGCGCTCATACAATCAACACCTCAGTGCTTAAGCTACAGTCAAAAACCGGCCTCATGTCCTCCAGACTGGCCCAACATCAACGCACAGAAATTACATCTCGCACCTCATCCAGGGAATCACAAGCCGTTGATGCACAACTGATACCGAGCGCTCATGTTCGCATACAAATGCGTGGAAGAAATTCAAATAGTTACACTTCAAGCTGAATCATTAACGCACGAAAAGAATTCAAGAATGTGAAGTTTTCCTAAAGGTTCTGCAGCCTCTCGAAGATAAGTACAGACGTCTCCGTACCGATCCGTAAGACTCTACTAAACCCGCTCATGACTCGTGAGACCTATGTAACCTAGGCTCTGATACCAACTTGTCACTACCCAAAATCTAACCATGGTCGTGATGGCGCCTATCGTGTTACAAGGCAAGCCTATTTTCCAAAATATTTCTACTAAACCGATTATAAGAATTTAATAAAACATTTCCAACATTTGAATTTCTCATAAACTAAATCAACTCTAAATATAATATAGAAAATACGGAAACGAGCCCCAAACATCGGGGTGTCACTAAGTCATGAGCGTCTAAATCTATGAACTAAGAAATGAAACTGTCTAACTGTCAATACAATCCAAAAGAAGAAATGATAAAAGGAGTAACAAGGTCCTGCGGACGCTAGCAGCTACCTT